CGATATATATCGGATGACGATATAAAAACGTCTATCGTTTCATTTGACGCTATCGTTTGTTTCGTGGTGTCGCAAAATAAACTGTTTATGGCAATATTTTTTCACCGTTTTGATGGTCACTGTAGTGGCTATATTAATTTCTTAAAGTTCTCTCTTTCTCTTATATTTAATATAACCACACTACAGACGGACAAGCGCATGTTTTTATGCGTTGTGGTTACCAACAACGACGGTAACACTATCACGTGTCCGCTTGTTTATGTTCCACATAAACCTTTCACAATAAAGCTCAAGATCCTGTTGAGACTTTTCAAAATAAACTGAATCACGTGAGAGAGCAGATTATTTATGGATGAGAAGTAAAAAATAAACCTTAGACTCAAACGTTAGAACAGGCTTTTCCCTGCAGTACGCCGTGTAATAAATACTCACAAAGAAAACGGCGGCTGTTACGACTTATGTCTAAAAATGTATAGTTTCATACATCGGTTAAAACACTGGACTCCAGGTACATGACTCCCAGCTGGAAACACTTTCCGCCAGTCGAGCTGCCCGAGAGTCACAGAATTTACAGAAAATGTTACATTTTTGTGATTTATATCGTTATCGGGACGATAGAATTCTTATATCGGGATATGAGATTTTGGTCATATCGCACAGCCCTAGTTCTCCCCAGATACCTCAGCTTCCTCCCACAGTCCAAAGGCAGGCAGTGGGATCAGATTAATTGGTGATTATAAACAGGATGCAGGTGTGAACTTAAGTATGAATCGCTGAATGCCTCTATGTGATAGCCCTGTGACAGACTGATGAACTGTCTAATGTGTATCCAGCCTCTCGCGCTATGGCAGCTGGGATAGGTTTACACTTTACCTGAAAAGTGAAGTACTGCAGTGACATTTTCTTTCCCTGTTTTTCTCAATCTTAAATTGAAGATTCTCTTTCTTTGCAAAATCTGATATTGAATTATTTAAGCTAAAAGTGGTCTTTTTTGTTTGATTTAATCAGCTCTTTCTTCAAGTTCACATTACTGGACACAAGAACTGGTCAATTTTTATCCTTTGACAGCTCGGAACTGCCTTGGACAGCTGGATGAAAACTTGTGGCACATGTGTCAAAGCCCAGTATTTAACACTGAGCTTTATGAGTCAGTGTCAGACACCTTACCTGTTCAGGTCTGAAGACAAAGCCGAAGATAAACATCTCTTCAGCTGATCCTTGTGTTTGCGCTCTTTGACCTGGAATTCGAGTCTCGCTGCCTCACTGGTGATCATGGTGTGTTATGTTCTCTAAAAGTGAGACAAGAGGGAAGACACACTTCAGCTTGTGAACTCAAAGGTGTTCTGGTGGAATGAGAACCACATCTTCCAGTGGCATGCTGTGTGCACACTATGACAAAGTGAGGCAGATCATCACAAACTGTGACAACTACACCAACAAGGATCACCTGACCAGTGCTGTCACATAGTCCAGGACAACAAAAGGCTACTGCGTTCACCTTTTTCCCCCCGTAATCATATGCTGCAATACCATCTTTCTCCACAGTCGCTGACTCATATTCGCTTTCCTTTTCTATCCAAAGAGGCGCTGTTAGCCAAGTTTAGCGAAATCAATGAAACCTGGAAGAGGTGACCGCAATAACGACAGAAATTCACCACGTTACGTGACCGAGAAATTTATTTAGCCGTACCACTAAAAAGGATGATGATGTTATCCATGGTAAAATACCTGCTTTCGTGTGTTTCCAACAGAAAACACACCCAGCATCGCAAATATTAACCAGTGTCTGTTTGTGTGAAGTTTAATACTCAATAAAGCAATCCTTTTACAAAATTAAATACACGGAGCCCAAATTCACCTGCTCTAGCTCAGGTGTTTCCTCGTTCTCTGTGGGCTCCAGTTGGTACTGTAAGCAAATCAATCTCATTTTCCTCTGGCTGCTAGCATGCTAGCTACGAGGAGCTACCGTTAACAGTAAGTTACCCTCTTTAACCTTTAACTACCCTCGTCAAAAAATACACCTGCACAAATTAACTCCAGTCGATAGCTGCCTGCGAGCACGAGGCTCGGTAACTGCTCGTTAAGGATAAAATAAATGAATATGCTGACCCACTGGCCAATGTTGTTGACATCACTGCTACACGCTGTTCGCCACCCACTACGACGCGGTTTGTCAAACGAAAAAGGAGTGGACAAGCCGGAAGCTTCGGCACATGCGCAGTACACCTAAAAAGCTACCTAGCTAAAGAAAACGATGCATTCACGTACAGCCTCTTCTAAACAGACAAACGCCAAGAATGAACGGCTTTGTTTGGGTGAATACTTCAGAGATGAGAGACATGGAATGTAGCTCCACTTTTTGAAATCTATTTTCTTTTATACAGTAGAAGTGATGATAAATACAGAAAGAATGAAAGCATGCTAAAGTGACATTAGCAAGAGAAAAACCTAGAATTATCAAACAACTAGAAGGAGGAGGGTCGCGTACTGGAGCGGGCATATATGGCAGGAATATGAAGATTTCAACACATTTAGAAAAAAACCCCATAATTAGTTAGAGTGAAAACCCACCGATAAATATTGCATATTTTATTGTGGTTCACAGTGTCATATAAAAATTGTTGCTTTTGAAAAAGCTAAAGGCTTTTTTGTTTTTGTTTTAAATATGCATACATTATAATGTCCAGTTAATAGAAACCTGAAAATAGAAACCTGTTTTCTACTGAGTTACCGGAGTCAGTGAAGGCAGCAAACTAGCTCGCCTTACTAGCATTTACGTCATTGTTCTATCCCGGATTATTAGTCCGAGTTTATGATGCCACTTTACAGTACTGTACATGAGAAAAATTGATAAATACGAATAATGAAAGTAAATGGTAAACTTTCTAATAACTATAGTGCTGTTTTACATATTATTTATGTAGATACTTGTTATATAGGAATATATAATGTTTATTGTATTCTCAAAACATGTCATTCATGAGGGCAACATTTGATTATTCAGAATGTAAAAAACTGCAGTCATATCTGCTAAGTCTATAACCTAAATTGCAATTATTGAGATTTCTACATAAATATATATAAAAACCATGAAAAAAAATATTGTGTCCCGTGGTGTGAAACATGCTGTTCACCTGAACAGCAGTGAGGTCTTATCGCTTTGCGATAAGTATAAAAAGTAAACCATAACAAAATGCAATGATTCGCAATTTTTCATTTCATGAGGTTCAAAAAGTTCTGAGTTGGAAGCAAGTAGGCCAGTTCAGCACCCGACTCTTCTACTACAAAGTATCCAGCTTATCATCATCTTACTGAAATATACATGGACTTTGCTGAAAAGACATTCTGTGAATGGGAGCCTATGTTGTTTTCAAACTTGTATATACCTTACAGGACTGAGGGCACCTTGATGTTTTCCAACCAAAATTTGAAATTTAGAATCGTCTGACTAGAAAAAACTGTTTTAACCTGTATTTGTGGACGGCACAGTAAACTGTACTCACAGACAGTGATTTCTGGAAGTGTTCCTGAGCCCATGCAGTGAGTTCCATGACAGAATCATGATTTTAAAGCAGTGCTATCTGAGAGCTCAAAGATCATGGGCGTCTAATGCTGATTTTCACTTTTGTCCCTTGTGCACAGAGACTACTCCAGATACTTCGAATTTTATGAAAACTTTATGTACTGTCAGTGATGAGATATTCAGTCTTTATAAGTTTATGCTGAGGAACATTTTTCTGAAAATGTTCCACAATTTTTTGTGGAGTTTTTTGCACCTCTACCCAAGCACTTCTGAGACACTCTTCCCCTGTAAGATATTTTATTACCTCATTTTATACCCAGTCATGTGACTGACCTGCTACGAGTTAACCTAATGGTAAATGGCCTGTATTTGTATAGCGCTTTACTAGTCCCTAAGGACCCCAAAGCGCTTTACACATCCAGTCATCCACCCATTCACACACACATTCACACACTGGTGATGGCAAGCTACATTGTAGCCACAGCCACCCTGGGGCGCACTGGACACTGGCACCACCGAGCCCTCTGACCACCACCAGTAGGCAACAGGTGAAGTATCTTGCCCAAGAACACAACGACTGAGACTGTCCAAGCCGGGGCTTGAACCGGCAACCTTCCGATTACAAGGCTTTTTAGTACCGCTTACGCTTTTGTTGTCTTTCTCTCAACATTTTAAGGAAGTGTTTCCGTCATCAAATTCAAAATCCTTGTCATGGAACAGTAAAATGTCTCAGTTTACACAATATGTTTTCTGTGTTATATTGCGAACAAAATATGGGTTTATGAGATTTGCAGATCATTGCATTCTGCTTTCATTTATACAGCGTCCCAACTTTTTTTGGAATCGGGGTTGTAAATATCTGTCTGATGAATACATCTCACCTTATTTCCACATGAACATTTCTGTTTGCACACAGTGGAGGTATAAATATGCAGTGCCACTCAGCTCTGTGCTATATTTAACAGAGCATCCATTGCTATTTCTGGTAGTTTCTTTTTTAATCTGAGACAGTAACAGACACACAGAGGGGCATCTGGAGGTTTTCTGCTTTTAACTTCAAATCCGTTATTATCTATTTTTAAAAAGCAGTGAAGTCTGACAGTTTGACACTTAGTTTATTTATAAAATCAAATGGTGTAGACCTGGCTCAGTGAATTTCAAAATGCAGTGTGTAGGAAGAGATACAAAATAGTACAATAGTCAACCATCACTGACATTTCTATACAGGAAGATAACATTCTCTACATTTGAGCATTAATCTTTGACGGGGAAAAAAGCTCCTTTCAGCAACACTACCTGATAAAGGGAGTGGGAGGGTTACGCCTCCCAAAGGACTGTGCCCAAAGTGGAGTGGAGCGACCCGTTGAAACACACAAGTATAGCAGGCGACGCCACATCCCCAGTCTCGCAGGACATCGTTACACTGCGACAGCTCGAAAGTTAAAAAGGCACCACACAATACAAGTCACAAAGGAGATTCTGCCACACATTTGTAATGCTGAAAACCGACAAACTTTAAGGCGGATGTCGTGTGCAAAAAACATCTTGAATATGTGTCACGCGTACTGTTCGGTGTCCTCTCTGGTGAAGTGTGCTTTGATTTCTTCCTTTACGGCTGACTTCTTTAAAAAATATCTGAAACATGTGAAAGATTTAAAGAATGATTGCATTATCACTATGTTGCTTGGTGTCACAGGCACATTCCAGGCTTCCAGGGAGTGAGTGGGGAGAGGAGAGGTGCTGGAGGAGGCCTCGCTGTGGATTTAGTTCCTGTAGCTTTTACGTCCCTCGCCCTCCTTGAGGAAGGTCCATATGAGGGTGTTTACGATATCGGGCTGGTCCTGCTGCAGCCAGTGACTGGCCCCGGAAATGATGTTAAGACGGAAATGATTCCTGATGTAGAGGCGGCAAGCCTCGGCCATTTCCTGTTCCAAGAAGGCATCCCGCTCTCCCCACAGCAGCAGCACCGGAGACCTGACGTGGTTATGGCTCAGAGGGAGGGAGCTACGGAAAGAAAGGAGCGACATGAAAAGCCTTCAGTTGATCACATTCGTCCCATATTCTCTTCACTGGCTTCCTGTTAACTCCAGAATTTAATTTAAAATCCTTCTCCTTACATACAAAGTTCAGAACTATCGGGCCTCATCGTATCTCACACGACCTCAGAGTACCTTATTATCCTGACAGAGTACTTCTCTCTCAGACTGCACAAAAACTTCACAAAACTATATTATCCCAGCAACATTAAACTATATGTAATGTAGCTATAATTGGCTCCGGGCTCCTCACAACCATGTTAAGGATAAGTGGAAGAGAATGGATGGATGGAGGGATTCATGTCTTATTTTTTTTGTGCCAAACTAACCACGTTATTTATGGATTGCGCTCCAGACTACTTTGCCCTGTTTAGTAACTCTAACCCACAGTGCAGATTCCTATTTTTGTCATTTTCCAGCTTTTCTCACTCAGCTGAGCATGAAAAGTTTTATACCAGATTTCCGATGGACCCGCAGCACCTGAGTCTTAATTTAACATCCTGTTCTGTAGTATCACAGTTGTTAAACATCACTCGCAGTACGGCACGCTTCTGCCGAGACGTCCTCCAGCCTCCATCCTGTCTCAGACCAGAAAGCAGATATACATTTAAAAGGATGGCTGAATGTTGACTGTGCATTCACCTATTTTTGTCCCGTCTACATTTAGGTACGCTATCCACTAACAGACAGACTAAGTGGGCACGGGTCACTGAGATTTCTTTTACGTAAGCATACAAAAGCTACTCTGAGATAACTCATTGCTTGAGAAGGGAGCAGATGGCACACTCAGCCATGCATGTTTAGGTCACATGTCAAAATTGCATGCACTGAGATTTTCTTTGATCTCGTTTCTGCGGACCATTGTTTGCCAGTAAACATGTAGGAAAGACGTGAATGTGAATATGAGACAGTATTGTAGCACTGACAGAAGTAGAGGCTCAGTTTTCTGTTCCCCCAGAGTTCTGACAGTAGATGGTGCTACTAAATGCAAACTACACAACAAAAACCTTGTTTATCTTTGGAGCGTAGAACATAAAGTTTCTTAAACTGACAAAACTGAAAATTACTTTTCAAGCATAAACAAAAACTCAATGAGCAAAAAACATTTAAAACAGCTATTTTCTGCTATTTTGTGTCTTACTACTAATTTATTTTGCAGCTGATATGACCGTGGCAGTCACAGCTGAGACTGTGGTGCCAAAACACTGGGCCTGTCCTTGCAGCTCATCATGGAGCGCTTTCTCTGAATGTTTAGAAGTGAACTGTGCATACTGCTGATCTTCAGTATTCCTATTTTAATGTAAGAGAGCAAACTTTTATTTGGTGTGTTTTAACAGCTTTTTAGCTTTAATATTATTCTTTGATATCTTATAAATCATACAGATTTTGCTTAACACATATGACATATCACTGTTATATAGAGATTTTAAAAATCCTTTCACATAATCCATCCTTGGCTGAGTGAATTCCCCACCTGAAGACATTCCTGTAATAGTTGAGGGCTCCCGTTAGAGCTCCCGGTTGTGAGAGTGCGTACAGGTAGGCTTCCAGATCCTCTGCGGTGAGCCATCGGCCTTTCCTGCCAATCCCTGTGCTGCGGCTGGTGAACAAAGCCTTCAGAGCCTGCAGCAGAGACACAGCAGCAAACACTGAGTGAGGTTTGCATGGGCGGTACGTTCTGATCTAGACAGCATTCACTGAAGGACGTCCATGTCGCTGTAACGCGAGTCAGAAAAGGTACTTCTGTGGTGAAATCAGCTCTGATGACCTTCAGTCACAGCTCTGACTCTCTGCTGGCTCGACGACACTGCACGCTGTGCACCAGCGCGAGCATATGGCAGCATTCTTTCATTTAATTAGCAAAACTCTGACATACTGATTATACTAGGTGATATAACACCAGTGTCTTAGAAATGCTTAAATAATTATAAAGCAAGGAATTTAAATAGAAACTAGTTTTTAGTTTTACAGTAACATTAAACTCACAATAAGCGGAGATTTGAGTTTGAGGTGGTTTGGATGAGTGTTTCTCATATTTTGGCTAACCTTTCACCTTTTCTCTATTTCCTGCATGTGTTGTGTGCAAATCAATGATGGTATACTGTGGAAATTCTCAGCCTGTGGTGAAAACTGCAGGGACATGTGGACAGTTACAAAAAGGAAAGACTTGGTTTGAGGTGTTTATCATTGTTTTAAACTAAGAGCAATACACACACAGACACAGCAAGCTGTCCTCGTTTCAACACATCAGCATTTTCTCTGTGTCTTTGCTTTCACAACAACTGATTAACTGCGTATGAGGTGTTTAGTAGTCTGTAAATTGTAGGTACAAAAAATAACCCGAGGCACTGCTCTATGCGCTATGTGTTAATTAGCTGTTGATGAACCGAGTCAGGTTAGTCTTTATTTTCAGTCTACATGCTAACTAAGGTAAACTAAGCTCCCAGCTGTTGCTTAATATTTAATGAACAGACATGAGAACAGTGGCAACCTCACATCAAACTCTGGGAATAATCAAGCACCGGAAATACCGAGAGAACAACTAGAATCTGATCACTGAAAGATAAAATACAAACTGTGTGTATTTGTAAATCTTCTAACACGAAGACAAGATAATATTAAGTACAATTACTTTTAAACAATGGGAAGAAGAAGATAATAAAATTGAGAAAAGAAGAAATCAAATGATTAATTACTAACCATATTTTAAAAAATCCGAATATTATTTTGTAATAATCTGTAATCCACACATTTCCTGCAGTTTGACCTGATGTAAACACCAAAAATAGACACTGCTCGTAATGTGCGGGGTACACTATTGCACATGCACGTCCACACACGACCTTGACATTGAAAGTCCACAGACAACAGACCACCTTGAAATCATTGATGGAGAGCATGAGCTCCGGGAAGCGGGGCAGCTGGAAGAAAAAGTAATGACTGGATTTCAGCAGCTGGCTCGGGTGACGCAGGGCATAATCTGGAGGAGAGGTAAGGAGAAGAAAGGGGACATTTAGGTTCTCGACATAATTAAAGGGCAGGTTTCTTGTGGACATGATAACTCAGTGCCTCTCTGTCTGCACCATTTAAACCAGCTGTTCCAGCTTCATATTAGCCTCCTCTAATTAGTGTCTCATCAACTTGCTCTTAATGCAGAGGAGGATTTGCCAGATGGATGCAAACATGCAACTGAAGTAATAACACTTCCTAATTATCATTAATAATTACAGTAATAACCCAAGAGTCAAACCAGAGCTTCTCTAATTAGCGTGGAGAATACTGATTTTCCAGCACACCGTCCTGAAATCATACCTGTGAACACAGACGGATGCGGACAGTTGAGAACAATGAGTTTTGTCACCATCTCGGGGTAGTGAATCGCAAACAGCCACGCTATGGTCCCACCCCAGTCATGGCCAACGAGGCAACATCTGTTGTAACCTTGGAAGAAATAAAACACGAATGAAGGAAGCTGGAAGTCCATTCTAACGTTAAAACTAAGCAACAACCTCCGTGGCTCAAAAGTGAAGCCAACATAGTGAGCAGCAGCAGGGAGAATTTAATGGCTTTGGATGAAGCTGTATACCGACTGCTTTCTTACATATTTCAGGATGTCAGTGGGGTACTTTGAACTCTTGTTGGATTGAACTGGATGTGTCTGCAGCATTATTTTACTATGTTTAAGTCGTAATATATTTAGTACCAGAGTGCGTTTTGAGCTACAGAACACTTGTTGGCAAATGCAGTGGTCATTTTGTCAGATATCTTCATTCAAATCCGAAAAATAAAAAAAATATATAAACCAAAAATTCACCCAGCGAAATTACATCAGTGTAATTTCATAGCTGACTGCTATGCTTGTGCTATAGCTGCATAATGGTAAATACGATTCATGCAACTGGCCCTTTGGTTCGTAAATTGTCCCTTACGGTTAAAAAAAAGAGGATAAAAAGCCCCAAATCGACACAGTGGGTGATGCCACAGGGTCTAGCCACTTTGTTACACTGATACAATCCATTGTGTAAAAAATAAATAAATAAAAAAAATGCCACTGCCTGAAAATCACTGTTGACTTTCTCAGAGGACATTTACACTCATCAGAGGATGGATTTCATGACATTCAGCCAAATGCTGACCAAAGTCAAGGCTTCAGTCTGATCACATTACTGTTGCAGTTGCTACAAACTAATCCCCTCACCTGAGGTCACACCATTTACACCTACTAATATGAATCACCCCAGCAGGCCCCACTGATGTTGCTGATGCTACAGAGGAACAGTCTATAATCTTAGACTGGGAACTACATCTGGAAAATAACAGAGCACCACGGCTCTTTCGGCTGTCCGCCTTTTGGGCTGTGAGCAGTTTACTGAAAACGCTGAAATCTGCTACCGACATGGTAACTAGCATAACATGTGTTCTGTGAATGCAGGCAGCTGGGTGGATCTCATTGGCTCTAAGAGTTGATTACAGATTAGAGAAGAGCAGTTATCAAACAATCAGGGCTTTCCTTCTTCCACTGAAATGACCATTAAGTGATTTGCACAGCAATGTGCATGGCTGAGTGCTTAGCTCCCAAAAACCTGTTAGGTAATTGACCGGGACAGCCAGAACAATGTAACGAGCTGCAAAACATCGTCCATAAGCCTTTATAGAAAGCACTTTTCAACACATGAATGCAAATGTTTCATAAGGAAAGTATTCAAAAATGTTGCTTGAAAATATTATAAACCATTATGTTGCCACTGGGATGGACAAACTAAAAACGTTAGAACACTTGTGGCTTTTTAAAAAGCTACAACATAAAAAAAAAAATCAATGGTTCAATTTAATTTGTGCAGTGCACAGAGCGTTACAGACTGATTGCAGTTCCTTCCAGCATTTCAAAGATGCACAACCTCTCAGCTTAATGTTTTGATGTTACAGGCCACAGCTTGACTGTTGTGGTTGAGTTTCACCTCTCATTGATTCAATTTATAGCTGCAACAGGCAGCTGCAGAAAGCTTTGTTTAATTCTTCCATTTTCCTGACTGCTTTTCCAATCCTTGATTATAGAGTCACTACCTGAAGGATAAAAGAAAATTTGAAACATAACACTAAACTGAAGAGCCAGATATTTCCTATGAATGACATGTAACACATGATGTGATCACAAAGTTCACCAACTCCAGGTGTTAAAAAAGGAAAGTCATCTGAAAATGAAAGTAGGGCTGGTAAAGTTGTATCACTGCTGAGGAAATAGCCAAGGCATGTTTTTTTTTTTTTAATTTTTATGGTTTGGGTTGCAAAATTTTATGATCACACCTCATTTGTTTACCTCAGAAAACTTTAAAAGGCAGAATTACGTCAGTGTTTAACAATGTTTTCGCCTTCTTCTGTCACATTTAACTGATTCATCTTTGATTATTAGGTACTTGCTGAGTCCTGGGAATTTCAACAGTGCTACAAGGAAACTTAAATGGACAAGAACAAGCGCGTCAGATAACCAGAAAGGTTGTAGGCAGCAGTTTAGAGAGATTATTTGAAGCCCTATATTTTAAGTTCAAACTGTATTTGAAATGAAAATGCTGCAAACAGTTCCTCTGCCTTTCGTGTGTCTTCCATTTGTGTTTGGCTACCATGGAGGAGTGCGACCGACTGAGCGCTCAGGTTTCATGCCCACGTTTTGGTTCATTTTAGCCGTGTGTCTGCGTTTCCAGATCTACAGAACTCCTACAGTAAAAATGTTGCTGTAATAAAACAGGAATTTTCTTTAATACTGAAAAGAGTGAAGAAAGCACCTCAAAGACTATGCAGGAAAATCAAGACGTGACCTTTTCGGCTTCCTTGTAATTGACACTGAAACAGCCGCGTTAACACATTTAGATGTGAGGTGACAGGTGTGAAGGAGAATGAAAGAGCTCATGTCCACTGAACACAATCTTCGGCGACATTTCAGGGCTGAGACAGATTACCTGATAGTGTGGGTAAGCTGTGCTAAAATGACAGGAAAAACACTGAGATACGTTGGCCAGTTAAAGAGCAAAAACTGTCATTCTAGCCAGATAATCATTGAGCTGGTATGTGCACACCACCTCAGGCTAGCTCCCTGCCAGTGTTAGCACGCAGTCAGCAGGCTTTGGGCTCTGTATCTGCAGTGTCCCATGTTCACTTAGAATGAGTCACAGGAAGTTTGTCATGCCGTGCTGCAGGCCTGAAGGCTGTCCACGGCGTAACATTGATAAACAAGTTTATTTTTGACCCAAGTAGCTGTCAAAACACTCTCCGCTCCTCGGACTGATCCCGAGATTACAGGCACGCAGTTCTCCCGTGTTTCCTCACCTAAGTACTCCACAATATCTTTGACATCTGTGACCAGGTATTCGAAGCGGTAACTCTCAGTGGAGAGCGGCAGGTCCGACTCCCCGTAGCCCCGCATGTCGATGGCCACCACACGAAATTCACTCTTGAACTCACGCAGCTGGTAACGCCAGGAAAACCTGAGGCACACACACATTTGACAAATATTATTGACAAGACGATGCAGGTTAATGCCTGTTTCTCATGGAAGTAGAGATTTTTTCATTGAAGTTTATTGGCATTTATGTTACATATAATACATAAGCAGGTAAAAACAAAATCACAGTTATGTAACAAATTATCAAAAGCTTTCAAAACTGATCTAAAATTAGACTTCAAACCTTCAAAGAAACCTTTTAACGGGGACAGTGTTTAATGTCTTTAAAAGCGTGAAGATAATGTGTCATTTACACAGCTAAGGAGCAAGAAAGTAATTTGTGCCCAAAACACTTTATGAACCCCTTCTACAGTCTTACTTTTGCTCAAACATTCATTCAGTTTCTACTACGGTGGATTTAAAGCCCATTCTCCTCTTTAAGGGGTTCTTCCATTTCTCCTAATGTAGTTAGACAGCAACATAGCACTTCAAAACAAGGCAGTTGAGGTGCTTCGGGCACCTGACTAGCATGCCTCCTTAATTCCTAGAGATGTTTTAGGCATGTCCCACTAGGAGAAAACCCCAGGGCAGCTGGCTTAAGACAGTGTCCCCCTGAAAGAGGTGGCCAAGAAGAGCGAGATCTGAGTATCTCTGATTAAACTGCTGTCTGACAGAGACCTGAATAAGTAGCAATAAAGGTATGGACATATGGATGATTTGCGTAATAAGTTATTTTCTCTCTTCAGGGTAAATATGTGTGTTTTTCACAATGCTAGCAGCTTCCCTTGTTTTCTGAACTCGCATCTCTTCTCAGGATTAGCCTGAGAAACACAACAAAGTAAACACTCTATGTTTTCTATGGTGACATATGTCATTTATCCATCATGCCTCTTCATAAATGACTTTTGCTTAGGACACACCTGTGCTTCCTCACTCCTAACTCCTCCACAAGCTTTCTTTCTCCTTCAGGAGCAATTAAGGAACTGATAGCTGAAGGAATATAATTTCCAGGCCACAGAAAGTGAGAAGATGCAAGGAAGGATAAGTTAACAAAATGCAAAGCCTCTTGTTTGTCTTTTTATCTCCAGTCCCAGAGTCTATGACACAGCCTCTTTCTGTTAAACATCTGGAGTCTCTAAGTCCAAACAGCACATTACGCAAGTGTGTTCGCAGGCCTTTCCCCGTAATTACGATTCTTACAAACTAACTTTGCAAACTCTCTTTTAGAAACTAGCACTCAGCTTTCTTTCCAGCTGAGTGAAGGTCACCTCTGGATAATAGAAGCTGTTTTAGATTCTAATCCGCCCACTGATGTGGACTGGGATGACTTCCTAATTGAAGATCTTGTCAGCCCCCCTCCTCCTTGTCCTCTTCCTCCTCAGCCGAGTAACGGGGGAAAAGCAAAATGCGGAGCCCTGCCTGTGATTCTGATGAGTCAGGATAAGATCCCGGCTCTGAACCCTTAGATCTTTGAATATAGAAGAAGGCTGAAGCAAATTAAGCCCCTTGCAGCCCTCCATCCCCCTCCTGAACGCAAAGTCTCATCTTTCTTATTTCTGAAAGGGAATTAGCACATTTTAAAAAGTACTCTTTCCAAGCACCTCAGTACAGTTTCATCGTTCCTCTGAAGGATATGTCAAGTGAAGCAGAAAGAGCTCCCCTCTACCGTTAATTAATCCCTGTCCTGTCCGCAGCTTAGATAGCATGCTAGAGATATGGACGGGCTTACAGTTCTTGACAAGCTCTTTGGCCCTGATCCAGACGCAACACTCAACATCATTTTTCCATTTCATATCAGGAGGAAGAGAGCTTGAATGCTTTGGACCCCTTTCCCCCGATGGCAAATCATGTCTGTGAATGAGGACTCCTCTTTGCTGGCTTGGATTTGTTTTTGCAGGCCCACAGCCAGATCGCAGAGATTTAACACTGCTGCTGAGCAAGGGAGGAATCCTCATAGTGGAAATTTTAGAGAGATGACCAATGCAGCAAATACCAAATACAACTGCACAACACAACATCTTACAGTGTGGTTTAGAGAAGCTTTTACTGTTACTCTGACCCTGATTTGCCTCTGACCTACCAGAACTCAGGGAAGCCGTGCAGAAACAACATGAGGGGCTTTCCTCTCTCACCAGCAGCAACATAGTGGAACCTGAGGCCAGACTCCTGCACAGAAACAAGACACACAAAGACACATTTCCACATGAACACTTCAGCCGTCACTTTTATCCAAAGCCATTTAGTGAACACAACGGAACAAGCCAGTGCTCCTAAGTGACTGTTACTGAGGGGAGCTGCAGGGGAAATTACTACAGGGAAACAAGACAGGAACAGCTCGTTTTCTTTTGAGCCATTAAATAAGAATCAGTGCATCACAAGCTTGTAATATCATGTTTACTGGACCTGAAACACTCTTGTGAATCTGTTTCTGCAGAATACTAAGTGCTCTAACAAACTTTAAGACTCCTTCAGGAAACGTTTGTAGACATTTAAATGTACATGTGTAAGTTTAACACACAAAAAAATTATGATAACACCTGCCTACATTTCTTACATCCACATTTAATCTTCCTAAAGAATCTAAAGTGCTTTAATATGCAAATGTTTCATTTTGAAATTTTAAAGACAAGACAAGCAGTGGCCCCAGTATGTCAAACTAAAGGCTCATGAAAGATAAATAAAATTATGCAGAAGACACCTACAACATTTCCATCTGATGGCAGAAAGAGTGAGTTCCTGATGGAAAAAGTGAGAGTAGAGAAGAAGAACAAGTTAATGTAAACGCTTGTGTTTAAATAGTTGGAAGTTCATTAGATTTAACAGGGTTTGATTTTTTAAATCCTTTTAAGAAACATATCAAAGCTGTGCCTCAGAAATGTGGGGATTTTTATTTTTTTGCTTTTCTTTCTCATATATCACTGTTTGGGGTTTTGAGAAAGAACAACAAATACTTTAAGTGCACATTGTAGGCTTGAGATTATTGAAGCATCTCTACACAAGGCAATCAGGTGAATCAAAAACAGGAAAATACGGCTTAGACCTTTGCAATAAACTGATGACCTGCTCTGGGCGTAACCTTCCTCTCACCCTATAGCAGCTGGAATAGATTTCAGCATTAAACAGAAGCAAAGAGGAAAGCTGCGCATTAGCGGATGACACAAAAAGTCCCCTACTTTACTGTAAAGTCCTTAACCCACCTGAAGCTTCAGGTTCCTGCACTACACTTGTGTAAGCTACATGCAGGTTGTGGTATCACCAAACTCCTGCTTGTACAGACCTGTTGCTAAGATGGATCTAAGTTGGGCATATTCTAGAGTCAAAGTCAGCTGATAAAGTTGAATTGATTGTTCTTGATAAAGTTCAATAGTTCAAGTGAGATAATAAGAAGCCAAAAGTGTTTCTGTTTTTAGGCAGTGGGGGAGGGCAGATTTAGTTCCTATTTAGCAAAATGAAGCATTGTAACAAGAAACTTCAGGGTCACTTTATTGTGCTTGCTCTGCTTAGTTTAGAGGCTTTGCGGCTACACTTAGGATCAAATTGCAGGTGATGGGAAAGAACATCCGCAGTAATCATTATATTAAGAAAACAGAGTATCAGACAGGTACTTGTATATTGAATGATTTTGTTCTAATACATATAGTTTTATAATTCTGTTGATGAATTTTATGTCACATGTTGAAATGAAATGGGTGTTATCGCACTTCAAAATACTAGAGTCAATTATAAAACAAATCAAATACAAAGAAAGCAATACTATTGGGTTATTTAAAGAGAAAGACAATCCCCCCCAATCCCCACCTTGAGGTGTTATTAGGTGTCAGATAGAAAAGCTTCTCTGTTTTTATTTAGTGGGGATTAGGTGCTTTGGAGGATCTGAGGCTCTTTCTCTGAATATATCAGAAAACCACAGTCTCTGCAGATTTAACAAATATTAGGATAGATTTCTGAGTGGTGTGCTTTTTGGATGGTCAGCAGGATTTGTGCTGATCTTTCCAATGTGTTTGAGTATGTGTACAAGTTTTCTTTGTGTGAGCAGGATAGTTATAAATATTATTTTTTTCTGTTGACATTGTCAGTGAGCTGGACAGACAGAGCAGAATTGCAGGTTTTCCCTTCTTCATTTTGAATTTTACTTACTATTTTTAGCCTCTCATTGTGACATGGTGGGACAGTGGTTAGCACTGTCCCACCATCCTCCGGACAGCAGAGGGTTTCTGTGTAGAGTTTGCATATTTTCCCCATGCCTGTAAGTTCCCTCTGGGTACTCTAACTTCTTCCCACGGTTCAAAGTCATGAATTTTAGGTTAAGAGGTGATTCTAATTGGCTATTGGTGTGAATGTGAGTGTGAAAGGTTGTCTGTCTCTCTGTATCAGCCCTGTGGCAGACTAGTGACAC